AGTTGAAGTCCACCAGGCTTAAAGTCACCAAGGTTGGAGACCCCTGTTCTAGGGCATGAAGACCAGTTCTTGCTCTTGAGGCAAAAATGCTTCAAATGCAGCAGTTGATCAGAAGATTTCCAAGACCTCCCCACTACTAAGAAATTACCCTTTGGGGACAACGATTTGGCACCCAGAGCCTGGAGCAAACAGAAGGTCATCAGTTGCAATCTCAAGACAGATACAGATAAACGTCGGCACCTGTACGCAGGAACTCCCCTGAACCATGGCTTCTCCACTGTGGCAGCTCGAAGAGGTGTGGATTTCAATGCCCACAATTCTCCAGCCAGCTCTAGGAGCTGAAGTCCACATCTCTTCAAGTTGCCAAGGGGGGAGAAACTCTGCTCTGAATGGAGCTGAGGTCTGGGTGGAGGAGTAACTGAAGGGTTGGCCAGACTCCCAGGCTGCTCCTCCCATGTGCCAACACAAACGCTCTTTTAAAAACATGTCCGAGTGAAGCGGAGTTTCAGAGACCGGCTTCTGGCTTTAAAAACAGAATTCCTGGCTAGGTTGTGTCCAAAAACCCCTTTATGGATCTCAGTTTAAGCACCATGTTATAGAAGAAAAATAGCAGATAAATGTTGGATATACTGGGACCTATTGGAAAATTATCAAGGGGAATTTAAACTTCAGATCAAGAGAACAATTAATAGCGGAAGGATATACTGCGATTACCAATGGCTGTCCCATTTACAATTATCTGAAAGTCTCAAAAAAGGATAAAAAGATGTGTGGCATGTAGCAAAGTAAGCCAAAATTTCAAATGCAATTGGGTATGGACATGTATTTGCAGAGGAAAGCAGGTTAAAGAAGGTATGATAAGGTTGTAATTTACAGCTGGAAATTATGTGGTTAAGAGTTGAAACTGACATTGTATTATGATCCCAAAGAGATTTTTTAAAAAATAAAACGATGTAAGTTGCTAAATGAGGACAGATAAATTATCTAGAACAGGAGTCGCCAACCTTTTGGACCTCAGGGACCACCAAACTCATAATTTTAAATCCCACGGACCACTAACTGGTTCTGTGGGCATGGCATAATTTGTGGGTGTGGCTTGGTGGTCATGTGACTGGCTGGGCATGGCTTGTATGTAAATATTATAAATATTTATATAAATATTGAATTTTTTATTAAAAAAGAGCAACTTTTACCCAAAATCAGGCAAAGCAGGCAGGTAGATTGAGTTGCTCACAGAATCACAGATCCATTCAGTGATCTATCTATCTGCCATCGGCTAGCTCAGCCTGTCACATAAAATTTGCTTGCCGTGAGTCTGCACTGAATAATAGAAGCTTTAGTCCTAAGAGAGGTTCGGCTGTGCTTAAAAGCAGAGCCGAAGATCTAAAGACTAGCTAGAAAGCAAGAAATCCAACCATTTCCTGCTTTCTAGCCAATCTAAATCTCCCAGCACAGCAGAAAAGATGATGGTCGGAAAAAGGAAAAATAGCAATTTAGCAGGCAAGTTTGCCAGGTAAGGAGTGAGTGGGCCGGGAGGGTTCCTGTGGGCCATGTGGGCGGTGCAGCTTTGTGTTTCTGCGCAACCTGGATTAATTGCTTTGGGGGAGGTGCTCTGGGGGTGAGATTTCTCTGTGGCCTACCAAAATTTTCTCGCGACCCACCAGTGGGCCATGGCTGGTGACCGCTGATCTAGAATGTATAAAGGCACTTCAAATGTATGTGGGAAAGATGTAAGACATGAAGGAATATTTTATCATGCCTGGTAAACTTGCAAAAAGTTTTAAAAATGGATCCAAATACCGATTTTGAAACAGGGAATTTTAAAGATGAATATTAAATTGAAGCCAAAATGTTTAGGATTAATGGACGGTTAGAAAAAAATCCTTGGAAGACTATTTCAGTATATGACCTCAGCAGTGAGATTGCCATGTGCACAGAGGTAGAGAGATGGAGGCACTATGACTGGTGAAGAGTCACAGAGATTTAATAAATAAAAAATAAATAAAATTGCGATTTTGCTGAAAAGGATAAAAACTTATTTGGATCAGAAAAAAGTCATGACCTACATTCATTGCTGGTTGGAAGCCCTTTATAGACTTTTTCCATAAAGACACACACACACAAAAAGGAATTTGTGAACTATGGTTTTGACAATTAGACGGGACAGACGGTAGAAAGAAGGGCCAGATGATGACGCTTTTCACAGGCAGAGAGTAAAATATATTCATACTTATAATTGCTGTGAAGAATGTTGGAAACCACTACAAATAGTCCTCGACTTACAACAGTTCATTTAGTGGCCGTTCAAAGTTACAGTGGCAATGAACAAAGGGCCGTTTCCCACACAATCACTGCCGCTTCCTGATCAAAATCCAGGTGCTTCTTGGCAATGGGGGTTCATACTTAGGGAGGTCGCAGTGCCCTGGGGTCACGTGATCCCCTTTGGCGACCTTCTGACAAGCAAAGCCAATGGGGAAGCCGGATTCACTTAACGACTGTGTCTCTAACTTTAATAACTGCAGTGATTCACTTAGCAACCGTGGCAAGGAAGGTCGTAAAATGGAGCAAAATCCACTGAAAAAATGTCTTGCTTAGCAACAGAAATTTTGGGCTCCATTGTGATCTTAAGTTGATCTGTACTTTATGCTTTTTCTTTTCTTTCCTTTTTTTCTTTCTTTCTACTGGTTTGTGTTGGGTTGCTTTTATCTTCTTGTTCATAATCAAATATAATTTTAATAAAACTTATATATGCCAAAATCCTTGGGATTTGTCCTGGTTTAGCTCCGTTCCGATGACTCTCCAGGCTCCCTTCACCCTTTTCAGTCCCCACTCGTGGGGACCCTGGGCAGGCAGGGGCTTCTCCAGGGCTTCTGGGCTGGGGCGCCTGGCCCATTGCAGGCCATGCAGAGAGCCCAAAGCCTGGCTTGGCTCTCAACCTTTCCCCAAGCCCCAAAAAGCTGGGGTCCCTTGTGCCCAAGACCCCATCACTGGCCGCCCTTTAGAGGGGCTCCCCTCCGTCCCTCTTTCTCCCCTGCGCCATATAATCCCCTCTGCGAAGGGGAAACAGCCGCTGAGCCGAGCTGGATGGCTGCATTCATTTCAGGGAGTCCAGCGTCTGAGTCAGGCCGGCTCATACTGCCCCCCCCGAGGATGCCGCCCCCCCCCCGCAAGGACTGCCAGGTGCTGCTGGGCCGAGGGCCTCGCTGCCCTTCAGGGGTTCAACATGCAGCCATATCGTTGGCAAGAAAGGAGGCGGCTGCCAACCGAGTGCACCTCAAGAGCCAAAGCCGGGGGCAGAAATGGCGGCTGGCCTGCGAGAGCCACGGGTCTGTCTCCGGCCCCAGCATGGCCTCCTGCCCAACCAGAGCTCTTGCAGGCCGCAAGCGGTCACCCCTTCTGGGAAGTCCTGCTAACCCGGCCAAAGGCGGCCTGCCTCGTTGGGCAAGCGGGTGCCAGGCGCCAGCTGGGCAACTCACCTCCCCCTTCTGGACAGTCATGGATTGCCTCCTGGGCGTGATCTCCTCGTTGATGCTGGAGAGGAAGTTCTGGGAGATGCGCAGGGCATCCTGCAGGAGCAGGTAGTCGGGGTGGCTGGACGGGGTGTGCTTCAGCAGATCCTGCCCGTCAGGAGGGAGGGAGAAGAAAGGCCCTCAGAGCACAGCCCGGGCAGTCCGGGGGCTTCACTCCTGAAGGCTTTCCTGCCTAACCTAAAGCTTAGATCCAGGGTCTTCCTCCTCCTCCTCCTCCTCCTCCTCCTCCTCCTCCTCCCCCTCCTCCTCCTCCTCCATGCAGGAACCAAACCTCCCAGACAGATGGCTGGCCAGGCCCTGCTTGAGCCCCCCCTCCCCCCCTCCCCCCCTCTCACGGGTCCCAGTCCGTTCAGATGTGTTTCTCCTCCTACGCTGCTCCTCCTAACCGTTGCACCGGAAGCGCCAGGAAGCCAGAGCTAGAGTTATCTTGACATCTTGCTTCATATCTCAGCTCAGAGGCGAGAAAAAAAACCTGCACAAGTGACCAAGCCCAGGGATTCTCCGTGGGGGGGATTCGTGGCTCTGCGTGGAGCAGTAGCTGCACAGGCGCCCTGATGCTCCAAGCCCTTCAAGCCAGCCTGTTTTCCTGTCGGCAGTGTTGTTTTTACAAATCCTCCACCCCAACTTCTTCTCCTGGGGGGTCTTGCCTGCCTCTCACTCTCCTACCCCAACCAGGAGTCATTTGAATGCGATCCAGTGTGCTGTGGGAACCCAACCTCTACTTGTGCTGTACGAAGCAGCCATCACGTTCGGCCAAAAGGATGCGGCGTGGAGCATGTCAGGTGATGGGAACACCTGTGCTTTGCTCCCCTGCGTTCTGCATGTCTGGTCACTCTTGCCACCCCCTTTGTGTTATTTCTTGCCTGACTTCTCTGAAAAAAAAAGCAGCCCCTCCAATTTCCAGCAGAAAAGCCAACGACAAGGAATATTCACGGCAACTTACGTGGAGCACAAGGGTGCTGCGTGTGACTCGATCCACCGGCTTGTAGAGGAGAGCTATGGGGAAATAAAAGGAGAATTAGAAGCTGTAGGGCAACACAATTCTCTGGGGAGGAAAACCATCCAAAGGGAGGACGAAAAGGGTCCTAAGTAGAAGATGGTTCACGAGAAAAAACCCTTCTTTGACACTAGGCCTGCTGCAATCCTTTGCAATTCACCTCTGCTACCCCCACCCCTCCACAGCTAGCCAAGCCCTTCTCATTCCCTGCACCATGGATTGCTATAGGAGGCAGAGTCCCCTTTTGCAAGGTCATTCTAACAGCTAGCAATTTGGCTGATCCAAAAAAGACAAAAAAAATCCAACCAAAGCAGTCGGCCCTTCTTATACACGTCCTTGCAGAACAAAAAAACCAAGCAAAACAGTGCAACCTCTGGCCCCATGTGGAGCTCCTTCCAGGGTGGGGTGGGATTGTTATTGTCCGGACAACCCAAATCTCAAATCCACTGGGGTACCACACGACTTACTTTCCAAGGAGTTTTTTGTTGTCTGGTCTCTTGCATCCTTGGAGCTTCTAGCTCGGAGGTTCTACAAAAAATGAGCAATACTCATGAGAGACTCAGGTTAATTTTCTTCAACCTGCATCGTGGACTCGCCAGCTGTTCCTCGTCTGGCAACAGATGCTGCCTGGTTCGCTCACCAAGTCCAGATGAGCCACACGATCTTCCAGCGCAGAAAGCAACAGCTCAGAGGTTACACCGCCTGTCCTAATGGTGGCCACCACCTCCATGCAGGTTCTCCCCTGCAATTTACGGGGGGGTGGGGGGTGGGGGGCGCTCAAGGAGTAGCTCAGACAAACCAGCTGGAATTTCAACAAGCCGGGGAGGCCTCGGTGCCTTAGAAGCCGCCCCTGGGGGCCAATGAAAGAGCAGGCAGTGCTGGACCTCAATCTGCTCTCAAGTGTCCTTCAAGCCCAATTGAGGGATTTCTGGAAGGTTTTGGGCCCTCTGCTATCTCACCTTGCAGGTAATTGGGGGGGGGGGGGGCAGGATTTTGCTTGGAGGGAAAGTATTTATCTGATAAAAGCCACCCTGGGAGGAATTCTTGAAATCCCTTGTAAGAATATTGGCTAAGAAAGAAAGGGAGTCCACTCTCCTCCCACAGCCAAAACTTGAGTTGGGATGAGTCAAAATCCAGGCCAGGTTTCCCAGGTTCCAATAACAGCCCCCAAATTATTTGGCTTCTGTGGAGGGTCCCTGGGGGGGGGGCGGTGTATGCCAGGAAAAAGCCCCCCCTGCACCAGGGCTTCTGGCCATCCTCACCGCTGAGAGACTCCAGCTCCTTTGTGGGTTTAACCCAGGCGAAGTGGAGGCAGAGGAGTCGCATCAGATCCCTACGAGGACACACACACACACACACACACACACCCTATGCGGGCGGCCATTGTGCAGGAAGAGGCGAGGGCTCTGCACACACCCTGCGCACGTCGCCCGGCTTCGCTCACCTCCGAGATCTCTGCAAACTGCGCGTTGGCCTGGCAACACTTCTCGGCCGTCTCTATGGCAACCTCGTAGTTATCCACAAAGGCCCGGTACACTCCCAGCTGGCTGGCCTGTGGGGGGGCAAAGGCGGAATGAGACCCAGAGACGGCCGCCAGCAGCCATCACCCTCTCAGGGATCGGGGGCAGCGGAGTACCCCTCCAGGCGAGATGCCTTTGCCCGCCCTGGCAGGTGCCCCCAAACCGATGGTTGAGCCAGAAGGGGGAGACACTGGCCCCAGACTGGACCCATTGCCTTTGGCGCCCCCAAGGAGGAGGATGCCCCTCTTTGATGGGAAAGTCCTGCAGGTCGAAAGCTGGCCAGTTGCCTGCTCTTCCTTCGGGAAAGAACGGACGACAGTCCGGCAAGGCCGACCCACTCGCAGCGACTGAGGAACGCTTTACACCTGGGAGGGGGGGTGCTGGCCCACATGGCACCACCGGGGCTGCCTCTGCAACCGGATGGCCTCCACGGAGTAGGAGATTTATGGCCCATAAAGCACTTCTGACATTGTAAAATGCCTTCCCCTCCCTTCACAATCCCGTGGCAACCAGCCTGCATTTATGACCGGTGGCTGATTGGCACCCCTTTTGCCAGTTTCAGCAAAAAAAAAGCGCCCACCATTTGGAAGAATGAGTTCGCTTAATGACTGCACCGTTCACTTCATAACTCTGCGATTCATTTAGTGACCACTGTGAAAAATATCAGAAAAACCAGTCGGGTCATGGGGGGTGGTCTCCGTTTCCAATCATGACTTCCATCCGGATTTCCAGTTCTAATGGTGGTTTTAAGTGAAGGACCATCGGTCCTGCCAACCAAGCGGTTCGAAAACACGGAGAGGCAGGTTGGGTGAAGGCAGCAGGTGCCGCTCTGGTGGGGAGGTAACAGCAGCCTTGAAAGGGGGGGGTGAGCAGGGCCCTCTAGAGTTGGCAATGAGCCAAGCAAAAGCCCCCTCCCCCCAACGCCCCCAACGCCCCCGGTCCTGCTCACCAGTTTCTGGAAGAGGTCGCCCACCCGCTGCTGGTGGCTCCACTGGTGAACGCGAGGGGAGAGCCCGTCGTAGAAGTCCTTGTGGATCTCGTAGAGCTCAGGCACTTTGAAGAAGATGGTCTCGATCTGCTGGCTGGACAGGACCGGCTGGGAGGTGGTGGCCGCCGCTTTCAAAGGCTTCATGGGCTGAAAGAGCCGAGAGGCAGAGCCGGACAGGCCCTCAGTGGCCCAGTGGCACCTTCCTGGGCATCGGCCTGCCTCTTCCAGCACCCACCCACCCACCCCCGAGGAAAGGCCGCAGGTCTTGGGGGGCAGCGCTCAGCCCACCCAGCCCTTCCCCCCTGGGCGGCACAACAGCTGCCCCCACCCCCCAGAACCATCGCCAGAACGGCCCCAGCCCTGAGGACATGGCGCAGAAGCTGGAAAAGAAACCCAGCCACTTTCTGGCTCGGCTCCCAAGCGGCTGAATGGAGCCCACGCGGGAGACCTTCTCGGGGCCTGCCCCGTGTCGTTCCCCCTGGGGAGGGAGCCCCTTGGTTGTCCCTGCCCAGGCCCCCTCTTCAGCTTGGCTGGAAAATAAACCCTCCCTCCCCCTTGGTGCCCTTACCAGCAGGAGGGCCTCAAGGTGACCCAAGTAGGTTTCCTCACTGGCCAGGATGCCCGATAGGACCCACTTCCTCATCTCCAGACCCTTTTCCAGGTCTGGCTCGCTCTGGAGGAAGTGTAAGAAATAAGGAAATTCAAAAATAAGATAGTATCAAAGAGGCCTAAAGGTTTCACAAATTGGGGTTGGACTAGATGATCTGCAGGGTCCCTTCCCACTGTCAAATCTGTTATCAAATGAAATATATCTCCCTGTGTATACATGCTTTGCTTTTATACTTTTGACATGCTCCATTAAGCCTTTTTATATTTTTATCTTATGTATATGCCTTTTATATTATTATTATGTTTGGGGGTGTCGTTTGGAAAAATTGTAGTATATGATGAACTTTTTAAAAACGGTATCTTCAGAAGTTAAAAAGAGGCCCTGATGAGGGGATGCTACATTCCTCAACGCTAAGGAAAGATGCCACATGGGCAGCCAAAGTAAGAGGTACGGAGGGGAACATAACGGAAGGAGGCCAATCTCCCTGGAGACCTCCTGGGATGAGCTGCAACCCCTGAGGGCAAATCCAGTGAGTCTCAAAGAAGGAGGGAACTTGGGTGAGGAAACTGTATATAAACCGTATATAAAGTATATTTTGAGGTTCTAAAGGGGGGCTTTTGATCTGAACCTGTCTGTTGAGCTGCTAAAGACCACCAGCGTTTGCAAACCGTCTAATATTTCTTTTTAATGAATCCTCTTTGTTTTCAACGATCCAAGTTTTTTTTGTGTGTGTGTGTGGTTGGCCTTGAGAGTTATTTCCAACAGAAGGGAGAAAAGGGAGGCCTTCGAGTACAGGGAAGGTTTGGGAAGGGGGGGTGGCGGCGGAAAGGAGAATGGAGCCAAAGAGAATGGAGCTAGGAGGGGGGAAGGGCTGCTCTCCCCGGGAGAAAGGGGCGAGGACTGAGGCCCGGGTTCACAGCCAGCATCCAAGGGCTGCAGGGTAGTAGTAGCATGACCCACTTGGACTTTGTGGGAGTCAGCAAAATCCAGACTGACCCGTGAGAGAGGGACCAGTTCCTCCCTCTGGGACCCTTCCCCACACAGCCCCCCTCCCTGCTGACTCTGTGGAGGGGGCATGCCCGCCCGCCCACCCACCGTAATGGCTGCCATGCCAAGATGGGGGCAGGGTCCAGGAGAGACCAGGGCAGGCCTCCCCTCCCCTCCCCCCAGCCTTATGGTTTGGACCCTCCTGGAAAGCAGCCCCAGGGATCCCCCCCCCCCCCACAAACAACCCTTTTGGGCCCCCCCCACTTCTTTGGAGCCCGGGGGGGGACGGGGGGCCCCCCCCCCCCCCCCCCCCCCCCCCCCCCCGGGGCTCTTGAGTGCCATTCGCTCTGGAGCTCCAGGGATGCTGCCAGCACATGTGCCCGGCCAGCCCCAAAGGGGGGGGGGTCGCTTTCCTCCTTCAGAAGGTGCTGCCAAGGAGCTTTTTGGGTGGGTGAAGGAGGAGAGAAGCAGACCAGCCTATTTATAACCCACCAATGGCATCCTTGCCAGCTCAGCTCAGGAAGGGCCTGCCTATTCCAGCAAAGCCATTGAACAGCAGAGAATAAGGAGAATTCGATTTATTTATTTTTTTTGCAGGAGGGGTGGGGGAAGGTTAGTCAGTTAGGTAGGAAGGGAGCCAGCTGCCGGGGGGGGGGTGTGTGGCGGGGGGGAGGGGATGCCTTGGCACAAAAGGAAAAGGCTGGCAAAAGCTCCCACGGAGGGTCACTCCCTCAGTCTGCAAGATTTCGACTTCAAGGCCACCCACACAGGGTCCCACTAAGCCCTCCCCACACCCCCATTTTGGGGCAAGATCGCCCCCTCCCCCAGCCTCTGCAAAGCAAAACCTCCCCATCCCTTCCCCCCTTATTCCTCTAATCCCCCCCCCCCAGGGCACACAGCCTGGCAGATTAAAAGGCGCAAGGAGCCAGGGGAACTCCAAGGGACAGGACTGCTCGCAATCCCCAGAGTGCCCCTTCTCCCAGGGCATGTGGCATGGCACGGCTCGCAAAGGGCTGCCTCGGGTGCCCCTCGGTCTAGGGGGGTCTCTTCCCTTGGGCTTTTGCTCAACCCTGCAGAGAATGCGGGGAGGGCATCTGGCAAAGCTGTGCCCGGGGGAAGCCCTGAGGCCTGGCTCCAGGTTGGCAGAGGCACCACAAGGGACCGGGGCAGAAGCCCGTGAACCCTGTGGCCTCTCTAATTCTTCCTCACTATAGTTGACATCTGGATTTATTCAGAGTCCCAACTGACACCGAAAGGCAAGGCCTGGGTGGGGAGGGGGTTTCCACAGAGTCCAGGAGCAAAGGGTGCCCTGAATCCTGCCAGGCTCCACCTTCCCTCTGGGGGCACCAAGGCTCTTTGGGTAGGAGGGTGACTGTGGCTGCTGGCCCTTGGCAGGGAAGGGCTCTGGGAAGGGCGAATCCTGTTGGGCCAGGACAGCAGACTCCCTTTCCCCACCTGGACAGAATTCCATAGGGAGCAGAACGGAGAGAGCGAATTCACGGGAAGGAAAGGAGGAAGCAGCTCCTTCGCTTGGGGACAAGTCTGAAAGGCGGGTGCAGGTGCCTTAGGTAGGCCCTCAGGGAGACCCGGGGACTTTGGGGGGGGGGTCACTTCCTGCCTGGAAGGAAGAGCTTTGAACCCAGCACAGGGAAGTAAGAAAACAGAGAAAACATATAGAAAAGTTGTGGCAATGCAGGAAATGAATCCAGATTCATTCGGCAAACGGAATTCTATCTCCTGCCCAACGGAACCAGCTCTTTCGTTTCCTCCTGGGTCTTTTGCTCCTTGGGCCAGTTTTTATTTTATGTGAAGCCACCAGGACAGCTTGAGTGGGGTCAAAAAATCCCGACTAAGCCAACACCTCAGTAGATTCCCAAGGACCTGTGTTGCTCCTAGACCTTTGAGTGAAGTTGCCCTCATTCCAGATTAGAGGGCCCTGCGCGAGGATGCCCAGACTTACGGGCTGAATGCAGACCTGGGTCCTGCTATCCACCCAGGCATGGCAAACGCCTCCGTTGGCACAAAAGGGGGAGATGCTACAGGCAGGGCGGCCTTCAAAAATTTGAGCGACAGGTTCTCCGACCGGTTGCTGAATGGGCGTGGCCATGGTGGGCGTGGCCTAGTCGGCCTCCTGCACCACAGCAGGGGGTGCAGTTTTTCCCTCTCCAGGCTCCAGAGGCTCCCCTTGAGCCTGCGGGAGGGTGAAAATGGCCTTCCAGGGCTCCGGAGGCTCTCTGGGAGCCAGAAACGGGCCTGTTTCCAGCCTTCCCGAACTTCCGGGAAGCCGTTTTTTGCCCTCTCTGAAACTTCGCACGCGCCCTGCACTTCCCTGCATCCAAAATGGCCCACATGGGGACTCCTGGGAGGGGAGGGGTGCCAGCCAGGAGTGGGATTTGGGGGTCCTCTGAACCGCACAGAATCTTAACTAGGGGCTCCCCCGAAACCCTGCAAACCCCCAGCAGCCCACCCCCAGCTACAGGCCCCACAGAGCTGCAACGGCACCCCCAAAGCCGAACTTCCAGCTCCCTGGCTTGCCCCAGGGTGACACAGCAGCAACTCACTGATTTTGAAGACTCCAGGGACCCCGAGGAGAAGCCATCTCGACTGCCTCGGCTCTTGGAGCTGAGATGGGGTGAAGAGGAGGGGGAGTCATCAATGAAGGGCATCATGTCATGGTGGTGCCTCTGCTCTTCCGTTCTCTCCACATCGTAGGCGTAGCCTGGTGGGAGGCCACCAAAGGAAAGATCTGCAAAAGGAAGGGAAGGCAGAATGAGAAGCGGGACCAGCTGGACTGGGGGACCAACAGCATCCTTGGGCTCTTCTGCTTGATCTAGGCCTTCAAGAGCTGCTCCATGGATTCCTGATGGTCCCAATTTCCCTCCAGGAGACCTTGCTAATCTGGCATCCTCGGCAAATGCCTTGACCTTTCCAATGAAAGCATCATTGAGATCAATTCCATTTCAGAGCATGCAGAAAAACAGTCTTGTCACCAGGACATGACTGGGATGCAAAGCCATACAGGTTAGTTTTGTCATAATCCAAAGTCTACTAGAATAACACACACACTGGACTCCTCCCAGCACAAATCTGTGGGGAAAATGGAAATCTGCATTTTGTGGATTAATCTGCAACCACAGTTGTGATTTGTGATGACTCCTTTCCAAACAGAGAACTGAAAACCCTGAAGGAGTCCAGGTCCATCAGGCCAGCTGATTCTGCTACAAGTGGGGTCCACACGGGAGATGGCTGGCTTGTCTCCTGCCTGGAGTGTCCACCAAACTGCTATCTACAACATTTCCATGTAGACATTCATGATGGAAAGACAGATTTGGGGATCAGAACAGAGAGACTGCCACAAAACTGAAAAGGAGGCAAAAGCCCTGAGGAGAATGTCCACAATGACAAGTGAGGCCATCACAACACAACGGCAAGCTGATAATTTATTTGCTGAACCCCCTTCAACTCCAGGGCAAGATGAAGGCTGGTTTGTCTCTTCCCAGAGAGGCTTCCATGCTACTCCTCTCCACAACATTACTCATCTGAACAAGACGAGGTGGGGGGAAAAACAGGCTGGGCATGTGACTGTGGGAAGACCATGGCCTCATCCCATGGTTTTGGTGTAAATCAGGATGTCATCAAGATATACGAGTACTCCTTATATAAATGCTCGTGTAAGACCTTGTTAATTAATTGCATAAACATTGCCCGAGCTCCTTGCAGAGCAAACGGCATTACTATGAATTCTTCCTTGATCTGGACTCGGTAATATGTCTCCTCAAGTCAAGCTTGGTGAAAATACATCTCTCGGCCAAACGGGCCAGCATGTCCTTTATGAGAAGGAGGGGGTACGTATTTTCAGTGCACGCTCCATTGCATCCCTACATTACCTCTGTTAACCAACTCCTTCCAAATATTCTACCGAACCAGCAAATACAAAACAGAAATAATACTAAAACTCTATTTATCTGTAACCTTCAAAAGAGCAAAATGGTGCATCATAGGACAACAATTTTGAATCGAAGTACCTCAAATGAGCTAACTTAAAGAATGCATCCAAAATCTGGGACCCAGGACGCCCGTGGAATTGAAATTTCAAGAGTCTTCAGACCAAGTTTATTGGCAGACTGGCAGCCACGGCGCCGCCATGGCCTAACATCCCTTGCCAGCTGTCCACAAGGAAAGTCAATGGAGAAGCCAGCAGGAAGTTAGAACATCCTCCTGCTCCCACTGCTTTTGTGCCTGCCTTGGTCACTGTTTATTAGTTTAGGTAAGGATACATCTCTAAAACAAGGACAGTAGCGCACAGATTGTCTAATATATATTAGTAACTCATATACAGTTTGTGTGGAGTGCACAAATGTATCCTAAACACAAGGAATAACTGCATATACCAAAATCCAACGGCATCAACATCTCACATTGCATGTGATTAGTCCCAAATGGCCTTTTGAAACAATCTAGACTCTGGAGGTGGGGGGAGGCACTCACAGCGAATGCTCATTTCTGAACCCTACCTGCCAAGCGTCCTAGCAAGATATTCTCCTTCAGCAGATATTCTCCGTGTGCCCTGGCCATGCAGGTGCTACCTGCAGCAGGCGTTCATGGTCTCACCCTAGGTAGGACTTTAACTGCCTTGAATGACACTTATAAACAAACTCAAAGCCAACACAGCTCCAACAGCAGTTCTGTTGTGTTAACAGGTCCACTGAGACATGAGCACCAGCTGAAGTTTCCATGGGATCTTTGCAGGCCGAAGTGAATTGAATTAAATCAAGAGAGAGTACAGAGACAGAATACAGAACAATAGAGTTGGAAGGGACCTTGGGGGTTTTCTAGTCCAACCCTCTGCCAGAACATGGACCAGAACACGACTATCTTCAACAGACACCATTCCTGAATGACCACAACCAAGACATTGATCAAAGCTTTCCTCACTTGTGTTCTAGAACGAGGAGAACCCCTTGAAATAGAGTTAAGCCCGCAGCCCTCCTCACAGCGCTCAGGGCTCCTAAGTAATTTCACCAATGGCTCTCTGTTGGCCATTCCCAAATCCTGCTGCTCCTCCCTAGAGCTGACTCTCTCTCTTCCCTATAGACCGGGAGGCTCTGCCTGCCCCTTTGGGGATTCAGGACACTTGCAATCCTGGGTGATTCTGGTTGTGGCTGACAGGACGAAACTCCAAACATCGCCAGCTACCAACTCTGCCGCTGGTGCTGGAGCACAGAGAAACCCGAGATTCATGCTCTCATTTCATTAAGATCAAACTTTAGTCAACATGAAACGATGGTTTGTGAATTATTTGGCCAAATTACGCCCTTTTTGTCTCAAACAGCATCTGAACAGTGGCAGCCCAGCCTGGACCAGGGGCTCCGAAACAGCAATGACAAATTGATCCAACAGCCACAGGGTGTGTCCAAATTACCCCCTGGGGGAGAATCACTCCCCATTTAAGAAGTACTGAAACAGAGAGACAGAGAGAGGGGGAGGGAGGGAGAGAGAGAGAGAGGGAGAGGGAGAGAGAGAGAGAGAGAGAGAGAGAGAGAGAGGGAGAGGGAGAGAGAGAGATGCCAAAGCAATAAACCCTGTGTAGAAACAGCAGCATTTTCTACCCCCGACTTCCAGCCCCACAGCTAAGGGTGGGGGTGTATAAGTGAGTTTACCACTAATAATGAGAAAGATATTCTACTCAACCTCAGATTCCAAGCATTCAAAAAGTTTGCCAGCATTTCAAACTGCCGCATTTCGACACCTTGTGGCTGACTTCCTATGCACCGTCTTTTTATGATGACGACGAGGATGATTTCCAAAGAGTCGGGCTATCTGGAGAAGGCAATCCTGCACACAGCGAGATCCCTCCGCTTGGGTATTTAACACAGCCCACCGGACCATCTTGGTAGCCGGCCAGGCCAGGCTCCTGGGCATCATCCCTCTCTGCCAACTGCTCCACCCAGCCAAAATGAGGGTTTCTGACCAGCTGAAGGGCCCCTTTAAGGGGTTGCTTTGGGCTTCTTGGACGAGAAGCTTCGAGTTGTGCAGTTCTCTGGAAGGAAGCCCAGCCTGTCACCCCCTGCCAAAGCCACTTTCACATGAGCAGCTGTTCTGCAAGCTTTTTCCTGTCCCTGCTGCGTTCTCACCAGCAGGTTCAGTTCAGATTGCCAGAGCTAAGATATGGTCAGAGCAGCAGGCAGCAGATTCTGGGGCTGTTCAGCAAATCTGCTTCCCAGTGCAGAGTCCAGCAAGAGCGACTCTGACACAAACCCCTGTGCAACCAACAGGAGCCTTTAGCACCCAACTCCCATCAGCTGGAACCCGGGAGGAGCGTTTTCACCAGAGGTGGCAGCAGGTGGGAGGGGGGCAATCCAATATGGCAATCTCTTATTGATTCTAAGCTCAAGAAAATCCCATCTAGGATGGGTGGGAGGTAAATAAGTATGTGTGTGTGTGGGGGGGGGGAATGCCCTGATAACTGGTGACTGATTAGAGCAGGGGTCTCCAACCTTGGCAACTTTTAAGCCTGGAGGACTTCAACTCCCAGAATTCTGGGCATTGAAGTCCTCCAGGCTTAAAGTTGCCAAGGTTGGAGACCCCTGGACTAGATGGTGGCTGTGGGACCTCCGGCTTCTCAACTCCAGTGGCTCTTGCAATACCAGCATTCATCCCTACGGGTGGATGTAGCACTGGAGAATGTCCATTCCTGCTGAAAATCTCTTTCTGGTCTAAAAATCTGCCAGAGGGGTGGCCTCTGCTGCTTCCTGAGATCGGTGGCTGGGCAGCCCTCCCGGTCCAAAATGTGTTCAACTTCTTTGCTCTTCCCTGCCCCACGATGAAAAGTGGGGGTGGAAATGGTGGCAATAGATATTCGTAGTAGCTACCAGCAAAATACAACCTATGGAAGTGATTAATTTAGCATCCGGCTTCTTCTTTTTTTTTGAAAAAAAAAAAAACTCTATTAAACATTTCAAAACATCAAATCTAAAATACAATACAACTCATTAAGACAACGTTACAGGCCATTTTGACGGTGTATATATATATATATCAGTTATTGTTCCCATACCTATTTCATATTCCTGGTTATTCTCGTACATTATCCTTCTTGTACTATTCATTCCTTATTTATTTACTCACTTATTTCTGTCATTTATCCTTGTACCGGTTTTCCAAAACTGTATAGTACTTTGAGTCTTCCTGTTTTTAACATTTTAGAGTAAGCTTATCCATTTCAGTGCAATTGTAGATTTTTTTGGATTATTAAACCCTCTTCTGGCATGAAGTCTCCTTTCCAGCATTGAGCGAGCGCTAGTCTTGCTGCAGTGATTATGTGCAAAATTAAATATTTTATCTCTTTTGTGTAATTTCCTTTTATTATCCCCAATAGGAAAATCTCTGCTTTAAATTCTATCTGAAAGGTCGTAATTTCTTTTATCCATGTTCTTATTTTTATCCAATATTTCTTGGTTTTTGGGCAAAGCCACCGGACGTGGAAAAAGGTGCCATGTGACTGCTTACAATGCCAGCAGACTGGGTTTAAGTTGGCTAATCTCAGAGGGGCCAGATGCCACCGATCATCCGGCTTCTTAAGCGGTTGTGTGGAATGGAGGAATCTGAAAGAAAGCTACGTGTGATTTCCAAAAAATTGCAGGGTGAGGCGGGGCAGGGTGGGGTGGGTCCTTTCATGATGATGGCAGCCAGCAGGCTGTTCTTCGGAAGCCTCAGAAAGAACTACTCGTTTCTTGAGAAATTGCG